TATGATTTAGCTCCCACTTAGAAGTGAGAACATGCAGTATTTCACTTTCTCTTTCTCAGTTATGTCAGTTAAGATAATGGCCTCAAGTTCCATCCATGTTACTGCAAAAGACTGCTAGCTAAAGTAAACAAGAAAAAAAGAGAGAGAACATTCAAATGAACACAATCAGAAATACAAAAGATCATCAGAGACTACTATGAGCAACTCTGTGCTGACAAACTAAAAAACCTCAAGGACATGGATAGATTCTTAAAAATATGCAACCTGCAAAGATTGAACCAGGAAAAGAACTAGAAATCCTGAACAGATCCATAATGAGTAATGGGATTGAATCAGTAATCAATCAGTATCTAAACAAAAGAAAATCCACAAGAAGCAACAACTGCTCTAGATAGAAGTAATCAGCAAAAGAACTCCAGAAGTATGAAGAACTAAGGCAAAAGGTCACCCCTCAAAAGGGAGCACCAGCTGTCTAGCAATGGATACCAACGAAAATCAGAATACTGAAATGACAGATGAAGAATTTCAAATATGGATTGTAAGAAGCTCAATGAAATGCAAGATAAAATGGAAACCCAACACAAAGAAGCTATAAAAACAATGCAGGAAATAAATGAAAAATTCACTCAAGTAATTGAAATATTAAAGAAAATCAAACAGAATGTGTGGAAATAAAAGATTCCTTCAAGTAATTAAAAACATAGTGGAATATTTTAAGAATAGGCTAGATTAGGCAGGAGAAAGAATCTCAGAGATTGAAGACAATGCCTTTCAATCAAACAAGTCAGTCACAAAGCAGAGAAATAAGAAACCTACAAGAAATATGGGATTATGTAAAGAGCCTTAACATAAGAATCATAGGCATGTCTGAGGATGAAGATGAAAATACACAAGGGTTGGATGATTTATTTGAGGGAATAATTGAGGAAAATCTCCCTGGCCTTGGTATAAATCTATATATATGGTACAAGAAGCTCAAAGGACTCCTGGGAGATTCATCCCAAAGAGGCAAACACCACGACACATAGTCATCAGACTGGCCAACATAAATAAAAGAGGCACTCCTACACGCAGTAAGGAAAAAGCAGCAGTTAACTTCCAAAGTAAAACCTATCAGACTAACTGCAGACTTCTCAACTGAAACCTTACAAGCCAAAAGGGATTAGCTCCCCACTCTCAGTCTTCTCAAACAGGATAGTGCCCAGCCTAGAATTTTGTATCCTACAAAGCTAAGTTTCCTATATGAGGGGGAAATAAAGTCTTTCTCAGACAAGCAAACTCTGAGGGAATTTGTCAAGACCTGTCCTGCAGAAAGTACTCAGAACTGCATTATATACATGCACCAGCACAACAGACACTCGCCAGTGTAAAATCACCCAAAAGCTAAAGACCAAAGGCCAAATACCACAATGGCGCAAGAGATAAAACTAAGCAACAAAGTTCTGCTCAACAGGATGAACAGAAATCCATCCCACTTATTGATTCTTTCAATAAATGTGAATGGACTGAACTGCCCACTAAAGAGACACAGGCTGGCTGGATGGTTAAATATACACAAGCCGAGTGTCTGCCGTCTTCAGGAAACACATCTAAACCACAAGTACTCATTGAGACTCAAGGTGAAGGGATGGAAAACAATATTTCATGCAAACGGAAACCAAAAGAAAGTGATGTAGCTTTCTCATATTCAGATAATTTAGTCTGCAAATCAACAAAAGTAATGGAAGACAAAGATGGTCATTATATAATGGTAAAGGGGACAATTCAACAAGAAGACGTAACAATTCTAAATATTTATACACCTAACACAGGTGCACCCAGATTCATAAAGCAACTCCTACTTGATCTAAACAAAATGATAAACAGCAACACCTTGATAGCTGGGGACTTCAACACCCCTCTGACAGAACAGGACAGATTCTCAATATGGAAAATAAAGAAACAATAGACATAAACAGAACTCTAGAACAAATGGGCCCAGCAGACATTTATAAAGCATTCTACCCCCAGATCACTGAATGTATGTTCTTCTGATCAGCTTATGGGACATTTTTTATGATTGACCACATCCTAGGCTACAAAACATGTCTCAACAAATTAAGAAAAATATAAATTATACCATGCATCTTCTTAGACCACAGTGTAGTAAAATTAGAAATCAACTCCAAGAGAAACACTCATCTCCATGCAAAGTCATGGAAATGAAACAACCTGCTAAATGATTGTCAGGTCAAGGTATAAATTAAGATGGAAATCAAAAGATTCTTTGAACAAATGACAAAGGGAATACAAGTTATCAAAATCTGTGTGACACAGCTAGCACAGTCCTGAGAGAAAAATTCATAGCCGTAAATGCCCCCATCCAAAAGACAGAAAGATCACAAATCAACAATGTAATGATTCATATCAGAGAACTGGGAAAGGATGAGCAAACCAATCCCAAACCCAGCAGAAGAAAAGAAATAACTGAGATCAGAGCAGAACTAAATGAAATCAAAAACAAAAGAAATACATGGAAATTAATAAAATAAAAAGTTGGCTCCTTGAAAATATAAACAAAATTGACACTCCTCTTGCTATATTGACCAGAAGCAGGAAAGAAGGGACTCTAATAATATCAATCAGGAATGAAAAAGAGAAATTACAACTGATACCATGGAAATACAAAATATTATCTATGAATACTATAAAAATCTCTATGCACATAAACATGAAAACATGGAGGAAATGGACAAATTCTCAGAAACACACAGCCTTCCTACGCTCAATCAGGAAGAAATACAATTCATGAACAAACCAATATCAAGTACTGCAATTGAAGTAGCAATAAAATACTTCCTAAAAAACGTCCTGGACCATATGGTTTCACACCTGAATTTTACCAGACCTACAAAGAACTGGTGCCTATCCTGCAAAAATTATTCCATAACATCAAGAAGGAAGGAATATTCCCCAACATGTTTTATGAATCCAACATCACCCTGATACCAAAGCCAGGAAAGGACTCAACAAGAAAAGAAAACTACAGACTAATATCTTTTATGAATATATAACAGATGCAAAAATTCTCAATAAAATCCCAGCAAATCAAATTCAGCTGCTCATCAAAAAAAAAAAAAATCTATCACAACCAAATAGGCTTCGTACCAAAGATGCAGGGATGTGTCAACATATGCAATTCTATACATGTAATTCACCACATAAATAGAAGCAAAAACAAGGACCATATGATCCTCTTAATAGGTGCAGGAAAAGCATTTAACAAAATTCAGCACTCTTTTAAGTTAAGAACACTTAACAAAATATACATAGATAGGCTTTACATCAGAATGGTAAAAGCCATATACAACAAACCCACAGCTAGCATCATATTGAACAGGGAAAAACTGAAAGAATTCCCACTTAGACCTGGACCAGACAAAGTTGCCCACTCTCACCATTTCTATTCAACATAGTGTTTGAAGTCCTAGCCAGAGAAATCATCAAGGAAAACAAGCTAATCCAAATGGGGATAGAAAAGGTCAAACTATCTCTATTCGCTGATGACATGATCTTATATCTAGAAAATCCCAAAGATTCTGCCAAGAGATGCCTGTAATCAATAAATAAATTCAGCAAAGTCTCAAGGTACAAAATCAATGCACACAAATCAGTAACATTCATATATGCCAAAACAGTCAAGCTGAGAACCAAATCAAAGATTCAGTACCTTTCACAATAGCAACAAATAAAATAAAATACCTAGTGATATATTTAACTAAGGAGGCGAAAGACCTCTACAGGGAGAACTATGAAACATTGAGGGAAGGGAATAGAAAAGAATGTAAACCTATGGAAAAACATACCATGCTCATGGATCCATAGAATCAACATTATTAAAATGTCCATACTACCCAAAGTGATCCACAGAATCAATGCAATCCCTATTAAAATACCAACATCATTTTTTGCAGATCTAGAAAAAATAATTCTATGCTTCTTGTGGAACCAGACAAGACCCTGTATAGACAAAGCAACCTTAAGCAAAAAGAATAAATTGGGGGGGGGGGGCATCAATTTCTCAGACTTCAAGCTATACTACAAGGCTATAGTAACCAAACTAGCACCAGAACAGAGACATAGACCAATGGAACAGGACTGACAACACAGACATAAAACCATCCTCATATAGTCATCTAATCTTTGACAAAGCAGACAAAAACATACACTGGAGAAGAGAAACTTTATTCAATAAATGGTTCTGGGAAAATTGGATAACCACATGTAGAAGACTGAAACAGGATTGGCATCTCACACCTTAATCAAATGGATTAATAAAATGTGGTATATGTATATCATGGAGTACTACTCAACTGTAACAAAAGGCAAACTACCTATTGTATTATCCTGGATGGATCTGGAGTCCATTCTTCTAAGTGAAGTATCACAAGAATGGTACTGATCTATCAACACTACTGTGCACATATGGGAAGTAACATTCACAGAGTGTCAGCCTAGTGGGAGGAGGAAGACAGGATGTGCAAATTCACACCTAACAGATGCAATGTGTGCTCTCTTTGGGATGGGCATATTTTAGCACTGGCTTGGGCAGTGCAAAGGCAATGTACGTAACCAAAGCATTTGTATCACTGCAATACTACAGAATAAAAATAAATTTCTTAAACCCCCAAAACAACCCCCCAAACAAAAACCTAGTTTCATATGAATCCGCAGCCAAAGTCTACCATTCTATCAACTGTACACAGAAGAACTGGTACCAATACTACTGAAACTGTTCCAAAAAATAAAGAAGGGAATTCTTCCAGTTTCTATGAAGAAAATATCACCTTGATAACAAAGCCAGGCAATGGTTTTGATTCTCTGAGTAATTTAAGGATCTACATTTGAAGAATTTATTACAGTATAGATAACATTTATTGCAACATAATTTATTTCAAAATTTGTTATTTGTTAGAATATTCTCACTCTACTTCAGTAACAAATGGTATGATTTTACTCACGCAGGTTGATGGTCTTAGAGCAGAACTGCAAATGTCATCTTCAAAATATCTACATCTCCATGCCAAGAATGAAGTTCTTCAGAAAGAGTTATCTATGAAAATAATACAAAACAAATATGAAGAACTGCAGAAGAATCAAAAGAAGTTGGAACAAGAAATAGCTATACTTATAAGTCATATGAAAAGGAATATATTAGAAAATGGGGAAGTAAAGCAATATAAACAGGAGAAGGAAAAAAGAGGAAAATTGGATACATTCAAAAATTTTAAATAAGGCAATGTACATGTTAGTGGGATTTTTTTTTATCAAGTAAGTTTATTTATCTGGAATGTGATTGCATTCATTTCACCGCAAAATATATTTCATACACATACACACCATATGTCTTCCCTCTACTTCCCTTATAGCAATTTGTCTTATTGATTTTTAGAAGGAAGATGGCATCTTTTTCTCCCTTAAAATATTTGTTTCCATCATTATTATAACTACATTGATCTTTTAGAATAATGATTCTCCTTAGAGAGTCATTTCATTATTAAGAACAATTGGCATAAAACAAGACTATTAGGAAAAGAAAAGATTGTGTCTTAGAAGTTATGCCATATTCTTGAATTGTTCTTAAGTTACATAGTTTAATTTTTCAAATTTTAAATTGATTCTATTGTTCTTTGAACTATCAGATTACATGATACTAACATAACAATTATTCAAATTTTTTATAATTCAGATTTAATTCTCATTTAATCATCAATTTAGGTGATATTGATGATACATATTTTAAACTTCACATTTGGTTTTTCACATATTTAACATTTATCTCTGAATCATTGACTCAAAACTAAAGGAAACAAATATCCAGTAATTATTCATGTTATAGTTAGTTTTTAAATTTATCCTTTTGATTTGTTTTAGACCCAAGCAGCAACACAACAAAACTTCTTAGAGGAGTTAAGACAAAATCATATTGCTTCAGTAAGAAATCAGCACGAACGCACAATCAAGGCCCGGGCTCTGACCTCTCCGAAGAGAAACCTCAAGGAGACTTTAAGAGAAGCAAATTGGAGAGATATAAGCATCTCCACCTAGAAGAAGTAGAATGCAGATTCCAATAAACTAAATAAGTAAAAACATAGAATCCTAGAAAATAAATTGAGCTCCTTAATTTGCCTTGAAAGTATAATTTTTAGCCAGACAGGTTCATGAGATTAGTGGTACTGACTGGAAAAGATCCATACAGTCAGCAAATTTAGAAAGGAGACTTTAATTCTTATCAAGGGTTACAACCTGCAGGCTGGCTATCTGGGCAGGCTGGGAAGCAAGACAGGCACTTGGAGGGAGGGAGGGGTAAGACAAGAATTTACTCTAGGTGGATCGGCCAAGTATACGTATTCAATATGGTACAGGAGGAGCTCGTGAATATTTATGAAGGAGACCCACATGCATGTGTATTAGGTTTACACTCATGTAACATACATTCAATGATCACTTTGGGGTGGAGACTTAACATGTAAATGCATTATAAATAGGTCCTATATGGAAAAAGGTGAAATGTAGGGCCCAAGTCCATGAACTGCACATCCTCAGGAGACTGGCCAGAACCAGTCCGTGGCTGGCAGCCATTTATTAAAGAGAAACTTTTCATGATCTGGCATAGCTGTCATGTCCAAACCATAAAAACAGGAGGGGGGTCAGAGGGGAGGATGGAGTGAGCAAAGAAGTCTTCTGGCCTTCTGTTCTTCTCAAGTCAGCCTTTCTGGTAAACATTAGCAAGGGGGTGGGGGTAGAAGCAAATGGAATGTGGCCAGGTTATGCCCTGGCCTGGCCAGGGCTTTAAAACTTTGGGATCATTTGCCCAAGGGAGTGTCTGTTAGTCTGTTGAAGTGGGGTAGGAGTTTTATTTCAGTCCTGAGTGGGAAGTGAAAGCTAACTAAACTATATAATTTTGAAAAATGATATTTTTAAATGAACCTACGTTTAAAATGTTAGTCCCGGACAGTTTATGTCTCTCTGCCTTTTTTTTTTGTTTTATGTGGGATTTTTCCTCCTTAATTAGTATTCTTACGTAGCTGACCTGATCTACTAGTCTTTCAGCTAAGTATTTTTGAAGCTTTCTAATTTAGACAGTGATATTGTCATAAAATTTCTTTTCAGCATTCTCCAGAGTAAAAATATCAGTAAGTTCGACTATTAATATTTTTTGGAAGGTTACAATGTAAACCAAAAGGGTCAGGTATTACTACTACTCTGGGCACATTCTGGCACTAAATTCTTTCCTTGGCTGTGATCTTTCGTATTATCACTAGAGGGCGCCTTGAGCCAAACTATCCTCTACAGTTTTCCACTCTGTGTAAAGACATACTTGTGAAATAGGAAATGATTAACATAAGGATAAAGGGAGTATACACTTCACCAAATGGTCAGACTAAGAGGGTGTGTGGAAGACAGAAAGAACAGGTCCTTCTCTGATGCCTTGGTAACCATGTTAGCAGCTAATTGCCTTTGAGGCTCCATTAGTTCTTTTTGACCACCACCTCAGCTACCTCATTGTCCTCTAGAAGTTGCTTCGCCAAATGCTAAATTTCCACCCCCCATGGTGTATGAAATGTGCAAGGGTCGTGAAAGCAATGCCTGAAAATGTCTTTCAGGGATGGTTTTGTAAATCGCTAAACTCATTTACTAAATACAAGCATTTCTAACTTTTTGTTTTAATTTCTTAATCTATAGTGCTACAGATTTATTTCATTTATAAAAAGTATTTATCTTGGTTTCTTTAAATAATAAATATCCATATGTAGTTAAGTATTAGGGTGTTTAATACAATATGATGTTTTGATATGTTTGTACTTATGAAATGGTTATTATTAAACAAATTAACATATTCATAATCTCATGTAGTTGCCTTTTAAATACAAATATTTCTAATGGCATCCTCAAGAATCTGAAAAGGAAAGCCATTACAGAAGACAGGAAATGTTGTCCATTAAGACATGCATCATTAATAGCCATTTCTCTCCCCTCAGGATTTTGTTTGAATTATTTGTTTGAAATCCCCCTAGAAATACATATACTCCTTTATAACAATTTAAAAACTATAATTGCATACAGTAGTCATGCTCCGACCATTTTCAGTGTTAAAATACTGTTTAATGGGAAATTTTATTTACTCTTTTGGTAATTTTTTAAAAGTATGCGTCATTTAGGAATTAGGGAAAAATGAAATATTAATCATTTGTGTTTGCAATCTTCACAGAGCTAAGGAAACACTAAAAGAGGTCAAGGCCAACCTTCTTGTAAAGGAAGAGAAGACCAGATCTCTGTCCACCACTCACACTTTGAAGTCACTCCTACAGTCCTCTTTCCTTGGAAATCTTAAGGTAAGTATCATTGTCAAAAGAAAATTTATTCCAAGGGTAAACGTAGTGATACTTGCCTAAAGTGGAAAGACTTGTGAACTATGTGACCCAGGTTAATTACATTATCTTTTTCTTGGGTTTCATATTTCTGATATAATTCTTGTTTTTAATGCCTTGACATACTGAGTTGCTTAATTGACTTACACATTTTAAGTAAAAGTCATAATATCTGTGTTAATAGAGAAAGGAAACAGAAATTAAAAAATTTTTTAAGTCTCTGGAGCCCTCATTTTCAAGAGATAGCCATTTGTTGTTAACTTTAGCCATTAAACATATCTAAACTGACACATTTTAAATTTCTTTAAAAGCTGCATTCAAGTTAATACTAGAAATTGAGTATTATCGTCTAATAACTACACGTGTACTTTGAGATGCTTTGGCTTACTTTCTAATCGATTGTCATTTGACTTTGGTTCCTAACACTTTTAAAGTTTTCTTGCACCATGTTAAGTTGTCCACCACTAATCATAAGTGAATGACTGACATCCTAACATTCAACCACAGATGGATGTTTATTATTAAAAGGAATCCAAGATAAACACTTTCTATGAATGAAACAAAACCTGAAACACTAAAACAGATTAATTTTTGTATTTAAGTTAAAATATATGTCATTTTTTAAATATAAGAGTACATCCTAATTGCTATTGTACTCTTGGCATTTTCATCTCAATTTTTGTGAAATGTGTCTATTGCTGGGCAATTGTACGACAGTTTTTAAACTGTTAAATCAAGCAAATATTTGAATTTTTAAAATGAAGTTCACTTATGTCTATTTTGCCATCACTGGAATGATTAATAACTAATATGGCAATGATATTAAGAAACTGTAAGTGCAACTATGATCAAACAGAATGAATTATATTCTTCTTAGGCAAAATTCCGTATAAAGCCACACATGGGCCCCATCCCCCCGGAGATATAGCAGGAGCCTTCCAATCCAACCATGTGATTTCACTCATAGTGAGAATCCATTTTGGGGATCTCAAAATGAATCCAACCATGATAAGCTGTATCAATTTTAGAGCTCATAAGGAAAAAAAATAGTTTATGCTTGACCCAGTTTAGGATATTTTTCTAATGTTTGGCCATTTTTCAAAAAGGGAGAAAATTTAAAAAGTTGAGTTCAGTGGTGTGTGCCTGTAGTCTTAGCTACTTGGGAGACTGAGGCAGGAGGATCACTTGAGCCCAAGAGTTTGAGGCTGCTGTGTGCCATGATTGCACATGTGAATAGCCAGCCACTGCACTTCAGCCTGGACAGCATAGCAAGACCCTGTCTATTTTAAAAAAAATACACAAACACCACAGAACATTTGTTTGAAAAAAAATAAATAGGACGCAGTGTTCTTTTTGTATCATTGTTACTGAACTATCCCTTTCAATCAGTACAGATTGGCTTATAGTTTTGATGCTGTTTTCATGATCTCCTTAATGTAGAGAAAACTGGCATAGGCCCATGTTAAATGAGGCCTCAACCTTGTTTCTTTACCTGGCTTCATGTCCTAATGAATCATATAAGAGAAAACCTAAGGTTTCTTAGCACTGCAGCCAAATAGCTTAAAAGGGAACAAAATAAATGATTGTTTTAACACTTAAATTATAAGAAGCTAGCCAGGTGATATTTTTCATCATTTTTTAGCTTCCTTTGGTTTTACTATTCTGAGAAAATGAGATGATCAGGGTCACAGTGCTTCAGAGTCATAAAGTTGAACTACTGGGTTCAAAAATAAAATGTATATTAAATACTTCTTTAAATTATTCAGAATGGTATGATATAAAATGTTCTTGTTAGTACTTATCAGAAAAACAAGGTAATATATCATTTTACAAGATGATGATGAAAGAATATGTATACCTAGATGCAATGCAAGAGAAGGCTTTTGAGGAAATAGTTTCCCTTAATTTGGGCAGGGGGGTAAAGGGGTGTTTATTTTTAGTATTTCCAGAAAAGTTGAAAAATCATTTATTTAAAATGTATAACAAAGATATACATGGTTTTCTTTTGGGGCATAGGTTTGCCAAATCATGTTAGACTTAACAAAAGAGATTAAAAAGCACTATTTTATTAAGATACAAAGACATGTCTCTATAATCACTGCAGAATGCCTGAAAGAGTCCTTGAACAATTGTTGTTTGCAAAATTCTTAATAGTTACAAGAGAGAAGGTGCCTTCTAGAGTTGCTAGGAATTTAATTATTTCCACTATGAGCACATCGCATAAGACTGTGAGAGGTGGTAACATGCTATCTAAAAGGATAGAAAAGGGTGGGTTTTGGATGGGGCATTACAAAACAACAATGCTTAGAGATTTTTAGGTATGATTTTACAAAGCAAAATGTTAAAAATGGCATTAATACTGGATTTGTGTATCCATTTTCTTTATTGTTGAGGTTTTAACATTTTGCACTATTCCTACTGTGAGGTTCTATCTTAGCATTTATTTTTCTAACTTTGAGGAAAATGATAGTAATAAATCATTTCTCTAGTAGGTATTTCAATTGTACTGGTTGCTGAAGCCAGTCTCCTCTGTGTTTATAGCATTCAGCACCATTGCATCTCCCACCATTACATGAAGTCTTGCCTTGCCACTTACCACCATTGTAGTGACAAAAGATTAGATGCTTTGCTGATGTTTACTGTCAGTTTTCTCATTCTGATTTAATTCTGGGATGCTTTGTCTTATATATCAGAAGTAATTTTCTGGGCTATTTTTTGGTTTGCTACTCAACTATATTATTATAAAACACCAAAACTGAAATTAGCCTGAATAGATATACCACTAGTTAGATGTTTTTGCACATAGAAGTTTTTCTGATAATTAAATCTTAAACATGTATTCCAGTATTATAAAAGATGAAACTTATCTGGTTTGAAATTATTTTACGTTCAAGAGCGGTTAAGGATGTGTGTGACCAACACAATGCATGGTACAGAACAGTCACTCAGTACATGCTTTCTAGTGCTCTAAATAGGAAGACTAAGTCTTACCTTGATTGATTGTTTTTGCCATGTTGGTGCATTACTGACACTTTCCACACATTTCTAATAATTTATTTAAGTACTTTTTCTACTTCTCAAATATTCATTAAGTTTATAAACTCTTTTTCTAAATGTGGTTATACAGATGCATCAAAGCTACAACAAGATTCCTAAGACTTTAACTTTGTACATGGTGGAATATTGTGCCTCAGCAGAATACTGAGTTACATGTGTTCCCAACTAAAAATAGGCCTGTTTGCATCACCAAGGCAGTGCCTGGCTCCTCTGAATTTTAACTCTAATCAAACTATCCTAATAGTCATGTTAATTGCTCATAAAACAAAGAGTATATTATAGCAAAGACTTATTTACTGTATCAGTTCTAGGCTCTGTATAATTCCTCCTGTCGCCACTTCATTTTATCTGCTTAGCCAAATGCCAAGTAGTCATTTTATCCCTTGAAAATTTCAAGTAATCTCTCAACTTCTTCCAATGCTCTTCCTTTTTTCATTTTTTTTTACAAGGTCTTTACATGTTGTCCCTGTACTTAATCCTTCAGCTCCTTGTTCAACAAACTGTCCCCCAATTCTTTTCTCTGTAACTAAATACATGCATTTAATATTTATAAACTAACAAGTGTAATTTCCTTTATACATTAACCTGCTTACAATTTGATGTTGAATTGCAGTGTTTTACATGGGCAAACTTATTTGATCCTATTACATTTGAGCACATACTTATTTTTATAACATTTGAGTTCTCCTTATAAAATAGAGAATGATATCAAATTTTAATCTAAATACATCAGTAGTTACTAAAAGAGTATTAACTATGGAAATGTGTGGGTGTATTTATCAAATTGAACTCAAAAAATAAAGTGTGGTATTATTTTCCAACCTGTAATGTCAAATATAATTTAACAGTAGTCTGGCAGTAAGTTACTGTTGCATGAACGAACTTTATATTTGTATTTGTTGGGATTTGCTATTGTTATTGATTTCACCATATTTCTTTTTCTAAAATCCTCCTTCCAACTCTTCCCCTCTTTATGTAGTGGGGGTTGTCTTGAAGAAGGTACAGTAAGAGTATACAGTCGAGGAAGGAAACCTGTCTGTAAGTGCTGGATGGTCATCTTTCTCACTGGGGCTGTGGTGGTGTCGGCAGCAAATGACACTGCGCTTCCCCTTCTGAGCTCAGAACACAGGAGTGAGACAGGTGGCCATCGACCACCCAGGCTTATCACTGACTCATTATACCTATGGGAGGATGGAGTTCAGATTTGCAGCCAGGAGGCTTCTGAATACCTTATCCCAGATCAGGCACTACCCACACAGTGGTAAGTGGAGGGAACAAATGCTTGACACTCATCTTAGGAGTAGGCTGCTTACTGCAGAGATGACAGCAGACCTGAATTCATGTCACTGTGCAAAGAAGTCGGCGCTCACGCAAGCACACCCAATGTGCTTTGGGCAAACTCACCCATCAGGTGAATCTTCCCTCCTCCCAGGAGGAAGGCAGAGACAGTGCAAGTCCTCTCTTGGAAACTTGAGGCCTGCAAAATGAAGGTTTTCCTCTCATTTTCTGCGTGGATTTAAATTATAGTTGAAATTAAGCCCATGTCTCTGTTATATACCAACTAATGATGAAAAGTTAGACAGAAGTATGCCAGATGGCAAAGAGAAATCTGTTTTGTGTTTTCCATGTTGCCACAAATAACCCACAACGTGGATAATTCATTTGTTGATTGATTTTGGTTTTATTTGGTGAAAATGAATCATCCTTCTAAGGAAGGATTTTATTTCACCATGCTTGGTTTCAATGAAAGATTTTCTTCTTAAAGTTCCCTGGTCTGTGGTTTAAAAAATTTGTTCTGGGATATTGACTGCTACTAACTGAAGTTAAAATATCAGTTGCTGTTCCTTAATTTGTATTTATAACGTTAGAGCTTATAATTTAGTTAGAAAGCTAATTTTTAATATTTTGTGCCTTAACATTATTGAGCCACATGATAGTTTTACATAAAAATGCATATCTAAAAATCTATATTTTTTTCCTGAAGATGAAGGAAGTAGCTGGCATGGAACTCCAGGCTCAGTTAGAGGCCCTAGAGCCCATCCCTGGTCTGCAGGGGAATGGCTTTGTGACCTCAGGCAAGCTGCAGTCTCTCTGAGGCTGTGTTGCTTCTTACGTAAAATTAGGCACTGAACTAAGTCAAGGATGTTCATACATTAAAAAAAATTTTTTTTCAAAGAATAGAGCTTCTTAAAAAAATGCACAAAACAGTATTATATAAAATAGACAAAAATGGAGATGTTTGGCCAAAAGAGGGCTGGGGCCTCTGAAGCTATGACTTCCTTGTCCATTAGGGACATAGGTTGAAAACTACCAGTTATGAGAGAATCCTTCTAATTAGCTAAAATTCACTGGCACATTGTTCTCCTGTGTATGATTTCCTCCACTTCTTGTATTTATTTATTTATTTTGAGACAGAGTCTCGCTCTGTTGCCTGGGCTAGAATGCTGTGGTGCCAGCCTAGCTCACAGCAACCTCAAACTCCTGGGCTCAAGCGATCCTTCTGCCTCAGCCTCCCGAGTAGCTGGGACTACAGGCATGTGCCACCATGCCCGGCTAATTTTTTTTTCCATATATTTTTAGTTGGCCAATTAATTTCTTTCCATTTTTAGTAGAGACAGGTTCTCACTCTTGCTCAGGCTGGTTTCGAACTCCTGACCTTGAGTGATCCTCCCACCTCAGCCTCCCAAAGAGCTAGGATTACAGGCGTGAGCCACTGCACCCGGCCCACTTCTTGTATTTAACATAGGAAAAGTATAAATGAAGCTGCAGATGTACTGCCTTTATTAAAATTAAACTTCAACCTATCTCTACCAACTGAAACATAAGCTCCACCTGCAAATACATAGACAGAACATGGAGAAAGGTAAAGCATTTTTACTAAAAGTAGTTTATATATTTTATTCCACAGGAGCTGATACGGCATTTGATTAGTGTTATACATAAAATGAAGTTTAGCAGTTTATGAAGAGTGACCATGTCCTCTGGCAGTGTCAGGTTCTCCTATGCTGTTGCTCTACGCTCCTCGAAAGCCATTCATGGCGCCTCCTCCACTGACTAGGACAGTGATTATATCACCACGACTTTTTTCTCCTTTTCCCATTCACTATCTAAAGTCATTCAACTGAGGACAATTATGAATTTCTACTAAAGGAAACATGGGGCAAATGTATGATTTATGGGAAAATAAGAATAAAGTGAAGGGGACTTTTAAAACATCATTTAATATGAGCCAGTTTTCACTTGTCAATACCAACAAAACCACACCAGCTTCCCACCGGCCAGGACAAAACTAGACCCATCAACACTCCAGACCTTGTCCTCGACTTCTGGGCACCCCTCCCAGAGCAGCTCCCTCCCTGTGTTCTGGGTCTGTCCCTTTTCCCTCTGAGCTTTCACGTCTGACCCGGTGTCTCCTTCCCCAAAGCAGTCGCCCTCAGCAGTCAGCCCGCGCGGCTGTGAGGCCGGAAGACAACGGCCAGGGGCGGCCGCTCCAGAGTTGGAACAGAGGCACCAACTTCTGCCATTTGCTCTTTCAGAGTTAGGAGAGAAATGACCGCAACTTAAATTTGTGATACAAAAAGGTATTCTCTATGTAGACAATTAAGATTTCTTCAGTATAAAAGTAAGCAACCTGTCAAGAACAGTATTTCATATTTATCTAAGTGAAATTTATGTATTTAGAAAGTACTTGTGACTGGGGTATAAGGAAGTAATAGACTCTCATAGGAAGTAAATATTTAGGAGAAGCGCTTTTGGGGGACAAGATAATAACATTACGTCATTAGTTCCGGAATTCAAGTCATGTTACACTGGACGCTGACGCAGCGTTCGCTAGTGGTAATACAAAATCCATTCATTGAAGGCTCTTCCCTTTAGTGTTGAGTTACTGCTTTTACAAGACCTGGCTAGCAGTGATGCTATAGAAACATTACTTATTTTATAAGGCTGGCCTGTAATGTTACTGTCACAGAAATAGTATGGAAAATAGTCTCTGAAAAGATTGGGAAACCTGTTAGTCAAAAATTTGTAAAGGAATTGGACATTATCACAAAAAAGTACTTATTAGAGTCAGTATACTATTTGAGATCCTGTTCTGGGCCTTGTGGGTGGGAGAGAATACCTTTTATACAAAAAATTTAAATAAGAACCCTTTAGATGGGACACTTGCAATATAGTTCGAAATATTCTCACACATTTCTAAATTAAGGCGATAACTAGAACTGTAATTAGATGTTTCAAAATTTGGTACTAATTTCTGAAAAGAAATCAAAGTCACAATTAAAGAGCTATATATTGTTTTCCTTGTTTCTGTTCCTAGAACATCATGAACCACAGAAAGTAAGCTTGAAAACTGGCTCTACCCCATAATCATCCTTTCTTGTTATAATAATATTCTGAAATCTTTGTGTCCATATAAATAAGGAGATGCTAATCATAATGCAGATAGCATAATACTTTTACTTAAGCTTTTGCCAATAGATTTTCACACATTATAATAGTACCACTTCATGTATTTATAAGATTTTGTGCTGAAAAGTTGATTGCATAGAACATACTTTAAATTTTTAATTTTCAAACAGTAGAGAAAGGAAATTTTATTTTAAGAAAAAGTCCTGGAAAATGAAAAAACTGGTTAAACTTTTATGAAGGGCAGAATTTTGCTAAGAATTACAAAGTAATGCATTCATTGCAAAATACTACTGGAATTATGTAATCTTTGTACTAATAATAGAAAACATCACCCTTCTGAAATGATGCATATTCAATAGACCAATACTAATTGTATTTTTCATCAGATTAATCTAAACAGCATTACACATAGATATTCTGTTATCTAAACTTAAAATACGTACAAATTTTATTTTTTGTATGTGATTATTTTTCTATTTAAGCAAGCCTCAAGTTAGGTCTAGTCTCTAAAAGTATTAAAGGCTACACTTTGTAAGTGACACAGTCCCATGATTAAGTCTCTTGTTGAACTTAAACAATATAAATAATATTATTTGACATTTCAGATGCTGCAGGAGTCAATAGAAAACACAAATGAGGTAGAAAGTATGTTGCCAAATTTTATCAATTGAATTAAATGTAAATAGCAAATGTCTCTTCATAGTTTGGTTAATAGATACCATATTAAATATTTTCTTTTCCACACATCTAATGAAAGATGTGAAAACATACACAGTCACCATGAAGAGTGTACTTATGTCTCATGAATTCATCATGCTCCATAGCTGTAAAAAAATCTCAGGATGTCTGTGTATGTCTTTTTTTTTTTTTTTCTGGCTCTACACTTTCTTTTCTCCTGTGTTCCTCTGGAACTGTCAGCCAGCACAGGAAAGCTGTTCCCAGAACACAAAGGCATCATCACCTTCTCGGGTTCATGGTAGTAATTTAAAGCCCAAGCACCCCAGACTCATCTGAGTCTTACTTAGCCACGCAGCTACAGTTCCTAAGCAGTCTCTTGATAGGTGATATTTTATACATGGCCAGTGACAGGTGATATTTTAAATCTCCAGTCATTCACTTTGTCATTGGTTTACTTTTGCCCTCAGGGAAAGTTCCAGATTCACTAGCATGGAATAAAAACACTCAAATCAATTTGGCTTTTATCAAGTTATTGAGCCTTAGTTCTTACCACTCATGGTACCCTGCCGTGAGTGCTTTTTGCTCTTACATCTCACCAAACTAGGCACCGTAGAATTCCACAGCGTTCTTCCTAAGCCCCGCTCTTTGCATTTGCTTCCTCCCTCTATAGGGCACACTTTCCCCTTATCCTTCAGTTATTACCTACTTATTGCCTCCACCAAAAAGTCTATAATATTGACACAAAACTGGGATAGATGTCCCTTCTCTGTGTTGCAATACTGCCCTGTCGTATACCTGTCATGCTATGACTCTGTGGAAATAGCTTGTGCATCTGACTTTTCAGCTTACATTAATAGCATACAATTGTTGAGGGCTGGATTGTATCATCTTCATCTTGTAATTCCAGTGCTTGTCATAACTTAGCATATGGTTGTACAAAAAAAAGTGAAGAATTAAAAAAACAGAAGCCCTGATACTTAACCACAATGATAATTAAGTCAGTGTGCAACTATGGGAAAATTATATTTAATAATAATTTTGTATCGTACTCATACATAAATATTTTTCATTCTTATTAACACTGATAAAGTTCTCAACTATTTTTTTCTGAGTTATACTTAGCAAATCATTTAGGTAAAGAATATAATTTTTTCTTTTTCTTTCCAAGGGCTGCCAAATTGGAAATCTGGATCCTCCCCTCCAAAATAGCTTCTCCTCTAGGATCTGTTGAGACCGAAGTCAAAATTTAGGTTGCAAAGCATTTTGAAAATGTGTACTGATATTCTTAAAAAATGTATGTGATCTGAAAGACTTTTAAGTGGATCTTGCAAATGAAACCAGTATGATTGAGTTCGACATGCTCAGACTTCCCAAATGTCAGCTGTTTAA